TACTGTACTTCAGCAGTACACCAAAAAAAGCCAATTAAAATAACCAACAGCAATGATTTCCAAAATACCTACATGCAGACAGCTTCCCACTTTAAATGCAGTGCTACCAGTTCTTTGGCATAACTTGATGTTCACAGAGGATCTGATATGCTCCTTGGATTTTACCCGAGGAGGATAAAAGGCTATTTTTGCTCTCTTGTAACTTGTAAGGGTTTTAATATCCATTATTTATTAAACTATGAGCTATGGAATTGACTGGTAAAAGACCAGTTCTTTCACTGACATCAGTAAGCTTTGAATCATATTAAAAAAATGGTTTGGGTTATGAGTTCAAATTATCAACCTGCATTGCATCCAACAAAAAAAAAAAAAGGATTTTTAAGTTAGATATCCATTTGCAATTAAGGATAAGGTACTTCTGCATATATGCAGATATTCACTGTGCATTCACCTGCATTTTCAATTACAGCTGAAGACTTGGTCCAGTACTTTTACATTCTGTAGTGGTTCTTTTCTATCCTGAAGTTTTACTTGCTTTTCTCTCAACTGACTAGCAGTATTTCAGCTACAAAACCAGTCATTTCATTGATTATTTCTTTAGCGTGCCCTCTATTAATATTTAGGCAGTTTATTGTTGAAGGATACAGACAGTTTGTACACATGCACATATGTAGATCTTTGAGTGTTCACTGGTTCACACTTTAAGCCTTATCACTGTTATTCATCATTTGTATTGCACCATAAATGCACAAAGGGCAATCTTTGTGCTATATAGTCCCTGTACTTATTTTTTATTAGTATTTCTAAAGTAATTCATGGTATGTTTCTATTTCATTAAAGTAATTGCTTTAATTTTTTTTTGGTTGATACAAGCTGTGTATGCATCAAGAATAGTGGGTTGGGATTTAAACACTCCTGTGGCCAGACCTTTGTCGTGGCTTAACCCCAGCCAGCAACTGAGCACCACACAGCACTCTGGGGGAGAGAATCGGAAGGGTAAAAGTGAGAAAACTCGTGGGTTGAGGTGAAGACAATTTAACAGGTAAAGCAAAAGCCGCGCACGCAAGCAAAGCAAAACGAGGAATTCATTCACTCCTTCCCATGGGCAGGCAGGTGTTCAGCCATCTCCAGGAAAGCAGGGCTCCAACACACGTAACGGTCACTTGGGAAGGCAAACGCCATCACTCCAAACGTCCCCCCCTTCCTTCTTCTTCCCCCAGCTTTATATGCTGAGCATGACGTCACATGGTATGGGATGTCCCTTTGGCCAGTTGGGGTCAGCTGTCCCAGCTGTGTCCCCTCCCAGCTTCTTGTGCACCCCCAGCCCGCTCGCTGGTGGGGTGGTGTGAGAAGCAGAAAAGGCCTTGACTCCATGTAAGCACTGCTCAGCAGTAACTAAAACATCCCTGTATTATGAACACTGTTTTCAGCACAAATCCAAAACATGGCCCCGTGCTAGCTACTGTGAAAAAAATGAACTCTACCGCAGCCAAAACCAGCACAACCTTGAATGGACATTCAGAACTGTTCTTTATCTCACAAAATGCTGTTGACAGTTGGAGGTGATAATAGGCAATTTATTGTGTGTATTAATTATTATCTGTCACTGCTTATGAATAAAAGAGGAGGGAAAGAAAAATCAAGTGTTCTTCCAAGGGTATAGGCCTTCAAAAGTGAATTACTAGAGGGGAAGAGAAAGAGCATGAAAAAACAGTGAAGGGTACCACAAAAACAAAGACGTCTTTTGACCTTGTAGTATCTCTGAAATAGCAATAAACAAAAAATCACTCCATTGGGCCTCGCTTTGTTTTCTTAAAACCATCTTTTGTAAAAGCTTGGAAATTGAGGAGGGCTCACGTTGCCTTCAAATGATCTGAAACTACTCTTGAAGTATTTTAGTAGCCTGTAAAAAGAGCACTGACAAGCTCCTGTACGTGTTTTTTAAATGGTTATGTAGTCATTAAAATTCCATGGACCTGAAGGCTGCTCAGGGTGCACACAGCACGGCGCGCTGGCTATCCCTTCAGTTTGGCAAAGAAATATGGGAAAAGCCAGATCCTCCCCTTGCTGACATCAGATCCACTTGCTGACATTGGAGGCAGCGGAGCAGCCAGAGACAGCTGGGATAGACTTGAGTGCACATTTCATTTACAGTGAAGTTAAGATGACCAATTATTCTTGGATGACCACTGCTATTTTAAATGGGGAAAAGGTGCTTTTCAAATCGTTTCATGACTCATAAAGGTTCCAGGCTTTTCCTTTATGGAAATCTGATCAGAAAGTCACGTTGGAAACCACTCCTACAGCAAGGTTCATAAATAATAAATATTCTCTCTTATTAATCCATATTTTAGTTTAACTCTGGCTCGTGGCAAGTTGCTTCCTCAGGGAATGCAGGATTCTTTACAAGAGAAGGTGATGAGCCACAGTCCCTGAGGAATTAAATTGTGAAAACAATCTTGGTTTCCTACATGCTAATATAGATCTGTTATTCCCTTTCCACATCTATCACAACACATTCTAAATTGTGGCTGATCTTTTATGCAAATAGCTGTCTTATTAGACATTGCGGCTGTGTGTGCTAATGTCTCCATGGGTTTCTCGGGCATTTGCTATCTAACCATCAAAGCGGTGGAAATGAATGATGATTACTGCATCCCTTTGAAGAACAAAGAAGAGTTGAGGTTCTAGGTGCGGGAGTCGATGACACCAAGCCACACGGGCAAATGCGAGCATCTCTGTGGCTCGGATTAAGTTGTGAAATAATTTTTGCCTGTGTTTGTGTTTTATCGGCACTGCTAAAACTGCAAACATCTTTCACAGCTGACGTTTTGTTACAAAACATTAGTAGGCTATTGAAACTGCAAAAGGCAAGTCTAAACAGTCTCCAACAGTGGCATAAAAAAGCCAAGAACTAGTTTTGCAGTGTAAAAATGTATCTGTTATCTCCTCAACTAGCTGAAAGTTCAAATGGTACTTCTATTTTCCACTCTCGTTATTATGATGTGAACATTATGTGAGAAATACAACTCAGTCGAGAGAATAGCTGGGAAGCATAATAGAGGGGAAAAAAACCCCAGTGGATTACAGTTCACTGCTTATGTGTCTTACATAAAATGGGAATATTCTCTCAATTAAACCAAAGTAATGTATGGAAACATTAGAACACTATAACTGAGTTTTCAGTTTGGATTAAAAAATAATGGCAGTCTTTTATACCTTGTTATTATTCCTGAATACCTTTAAAAAAGGTTGCTGACTTTTGAGCACCAAAGTTCATTTTATGCCTTGTGTCCCACACTTTAAATTAAGGAGCCTGGATTTGTCACTTTACATTAAATGCCAATAATTCTTTTAGAACAGATAAATACAAAAGAAGAAACTTCGTGGTTTCAAAATGCACGAATAACTGGTGGAATCATTCCTTCAGCTAGACTTTAAACCTTGTTTGAAGCTATGAAGGAAATAATGGTGGATGTTTAAGGTTGGGATGCTGATGGTAGCCATCAGCAAACCCTTGGCATGCTTTTTGGCCCATGGTTTGGCATCGCAGTGCCTTCAAGGGCTGCGCTTCCCAGACAGCGTGCTTTGGCAGAGCCCGGGGAAGCTCGTCTTGCTGTAATCCTGCTGGTTATGCCTAACAGAAAAGTAAAACTCTTGCAGACACTCCAAGGCCATATGTGCACAATGGGCAGATGGTTTGTGGCTACCCGGAACGGTTCAGCCAAAGTTTGCCCATGGCACTGTGCTCGCCAAGGCCGGTTGGAAAAAGGCAAGTGTTTGCTGTTGTGTGTCTTCTGCGCTCAAACGGTAAATCTGACACTTCTGGAAAATGTCAGTCCTCTTGTGAGTGCAGGGGTTGATGTTGGGATGCTTGTGTCGTAAAGATGCTTAAACAGCAGGGCTTATCATCGCTGTGATGAGTGGTATCTTCAGCCCAGCCAAAATGGTTGAAAACCAGTGTTTTGAGCAACAAGCATGACTATGAAAGCCAGGTATTTTTTAACTGTGGAAAAAGAGGTGAAATGAGCATGTAGAATCTTACTGTATCTTTTGAGTGGCAGCCCTGTGAGGGGATGAATAAGAGACCATAAGGTTTTGCACATTACCATGGGTATATCGGGGGTTTGCTAGAACGCTACTCAGGTGTCGCTCGTTCAGTTGCACGGATGGTGTGGGAGCACCAAAATACCAAAAAGAGCATCTTTGGGTGAATGATAGTGTAGTTCCCTGCGCAATCCTAGTGTCACCTGCTTGCGCTCTGCAACGTGAGCAGCCCATTCAAGAGTCAGGGTTGTTGTTACCTAAATGCATTGAAGGGGGTTTAAACTCTCAGTACTTCGGCTGAGAGGTGTAAAATGGGCACAGCCCCAGCTCTCACCTTTATTCTCCACTTTCTTTTCATTCGCAGGCCTCTAGAGCCCATGATGGGAAGGTAGGAGAGCGCGGGGTTGCTGTGTTTTAAGTATCTGTTCCTCTCTTTTGCTCAGGGTGGCTGGAGGGCTGTGTCTGCAGGTGGGTTTCCTGAGCAGTTACACCTGTGGATGCACACATGCCTAGTCCTGCCTCAGACTCCCAGGTGTAGGTAGTGTAAATATGTTTGCCAACAATAGAAGCAGCTCACAATACTACATTCAATCCCTGGTTTACTGAAGAAAAAAAAAAAGCTATAGGAATGTAATTCAGTGGTACCAAATGCTGAATTACAGTGCAATCAGTTTAAATCCTTTTTTTATTATTTTTTTATTCAAACTAACAGGCATTCTGTAATGTTAATAACCCATGCAATAGGGAAAAAGGTATGTTTAGGATTTATCTAATAGTCTTCAGAATAGTGATGGTTAACTCCAGTGTCTCATTGTACTCTGGGAAGGCTTATGTCTTTGTCTATAATCATGTAACTGTTGCTTGTTACAGTTTTTTCTGATGTTATAAGTCATTGATTTCCTTAGTATCTTATTTAGGAATAATGCTTTTTTTTTTTTTCCTGATACTGACAGTGATTTTTGGATTGAAAACGATGGGTAGAAAAGATGCCTCTACAGCAAGGACTCCTGTTGACCAGTACAGGAAACAAATAGGTAAGAGATCTGAAGAAAAGTTTGTGTGCTTAAAAAAAAAATCTGTTTTTTTCAGCCAGACCGGTTAGTGTAACAAAATGTATTATTCCTCTTCAAAAACTTTGTTTTTCTTGCAAGTGGTGCAAAATAATGCACACTCCAGGGACACATTTTTTATATGCTGTTAACTAATTCATTCAGTGAAAGCTTTTATGAAGACAGTGTTTTGAGTAACTTGAAAAAGTCCATGTTCTGTGTTTGGAAATACTAGTGAAATACTGCATTGCAGCAGCATGAGGATGTTTCTGAACTGTTGGAACTTCCCTGATTTTCCTGTTTGTCTCCAGTTTAAAATATGGGCATTTCTAACAAAATACTCTTCCTGCTTCATAACAATTTTTGATACACTGAATGATACGACCTTAACATTGTATAACTGTATTTATTCTCACACTAATGGAATACTTTTAACATGTTAATCGTTTATTTTCCTAGGTTTTTTTCTGTTCTTACCCATTGTATATGCAGGTAACTTGTATACAAAATACGCACATGCACACACACGAATGCACACATGTACACTCACACAGATACCTACATAGCAGACTCAAATCCCTATTTCTTTGCTTAAATGCAAAGGTAAGTGGCTTATTTTTGGAATCCATATATGAGGATTCTGTCTCTCTAGGTGTTAAATAATATTATAAATCAGACACAAGATTTTAAAAATTCATATATAAAATGAAGTACCTTAATCTATACTCAGTTATTTAAGTAAATGACTTTGTTTTACAGTTGCTAAGTACCCACATCTGTGTTTAAATGTGCAGAAAAATAGCAAGTGTCTGGGAAATAAAGGCTGTTTACAATGTACATTCTCATGGTGAAAGAGCTAGGGTTATGTGAACAATTTTAATTTTATCATGTCTTAATTTTTTTAGTGCTGCCTTATTATTTTAATATAACTGTTTTAATGGTCTTTTCTGCACTTAAAGTTGAAAGTAAGGGACTGTTTTGTATTTTATTTGTTTTAGATAGCTATGGAATGCTCTATATTTCCTAATCTTGGGCTGTTTGTGTGGCTGGCTTCCTCGGTTCATTCTCTGAGATAGTTAGAAATGTGGCTGAAAACTTCTGAGTACCTTTACAGATGGGAAACAGATATACTGGAAAAATGTTTAAATAGATGGACTCTGCTTTTGTGCGATTTAGGTTTCGTTTAGAAAACCTTGCAAGGAAACTATTAACTAGCAGAAGATGTCACCACAAATATTTCACCCAAATGGGTTTGGTGAGAAGTGGGAGCCCTGCAGCTCATCATTGGGACAACTCGTCCCATCTAACTGGGTGTTTGGAGAGAGGATGATTGCATCAGCCTTCTGGCATTTTCTCTGCATGTTTTTCATCGCGGTCACTTCTTTTTCAGCCACCTGCTTTAGGGTTGCTTTTCTTCCATTTGTGAACACCTTCAAGTGACCACGGTTGGACTTGTTTTTTGAAGTCCTCCGCAGGGTGAAAGAGACTGGTGATCTCCAGCGGGATCCCTGGGGAGCAGGCTGGGCTGCTGGAGGACCAGGGGGGTGTAAAGCTGCATCTAAGTATGAGACTCACAAAATTACCTCCCGCTCTTTCACAGCTTGGGCTATTTCTTGCACATTACTACCATGCAGCACCGGGGTTGCACATCTTACACCCGTGAGATACCAGGACTGATCAGCTGTGCCTCGAGCAGGGGAGAGGACACTGTGCTGTAGCAAGGGGGCTAGAGTATTTGTATTTGGGCTCAGCGCTCAGAGGGATCCTGTTATGTTGCTGACTCTCCGGTTTCGGGCTAGCATGTTGTCTGAACAATTTGGTACCTTCCCTGTTATGCGATGCAGCACCGTGGTCCATTGGGTACTGCAAAATACAGTGTCTGAGGGAGCTCATAATAAGCTCATTTTCCTTACATTGCTCTTAACTTGGCAAAAGCAAGTGTTAAAAATTATCATAGGGAAGTATCTCACCTTCTATGACAAGGTGACCCGCTTAGTGAATGAGGGAAAGGCCTTGGATGTTGTCTACCTAGATTTTAGTAAAGCCTTTGACACCGTTTCCATTCTTCCAGCATTCTCCTGGAGAAAGTGGCTGCTCATGGCTTGGATGGGTGTACTCTTCGCTGGGTTAAAAACTGGCTGGATGGCTGGGCCCAAAAAGTTGTGGTGAATGGAGTTAAATCCAGTTGGCGGCCGGTCACAAGCGGTGTTCCCCAGGGCTCAGTA